TAATGCACACTCTTTAATAATTTAAAACGGGGTGTCTATTTCAAATATGACGTGTCCACTACAATAATGATTGAAGTAATAAAAATCTCAAAGTAAAAATAAATATATTATTAATTCATTAGAAATGTGTGTGTGTGTGTGTCAGGTAAGCAAAATACAACACCACATATAAAAAACCCAGTTGATAATTTTTTGCTGCAATGAAGAAATAAGAATGTTGCAGAATAATAAAAACTAAGTAACAAACAACAATGGTTTTTTAGAAATATATAAATTAATGCATAACAGTTTTCACCAATAGTAATATCATATATGAATTACTTCAAAACTTATCTTATCACTAACACAATTATAGTTAAAGATTTGTATTAAACTACTATACCCTTAACAACTGATTGCATCACAGGAAAATTACCAGATCAACAACTGTGGTGTACAAAAAGAAAAACAAAATTCCTACTATAACTTTTTCCCTGTAAATAGAAAATATATTGCAGACCTAAAAGAAAGATTATACAAAATCAAATGAATTATAAAAAGATTTTTTAAAATCAGTTTATTTAGATTAAGTTGAATTGGATAGTATTGCAAAACACAAAGGAAAAAAAATTACAGAAAATAATCTTCTCCAAAGTGTTATTGCAACATATGTTGCAATCATAAAACATGCACATTATTTATAATAGAGATCACAATGCAACTTAAATCCAAGCAAAAAGGTTGGGTCAGTGATAAAACAATCTTATTGCTGTCAAAGAAATGTAGCAAGTGCATACATGCCAACATCAGTTTGCTCAAAAGAAATATCACAGAAAAGCAAAGGCAAAAAACAACTGAAATGTTAACAATATGTTTACATGAAATAAGATGTAGCAACAGAACACATAAATGACAACTTTGAAATTTCTTAGAAACATTTAAAATCTTTTCTTTAATTTATTTAAAAAATGTAAAGGTACATCCATGTTACTTCAGTTTCTCCAAGTGTTGATCTGATTTAGTAAATGTTGATAATATCTGTGTCTGAATTTCTTGGATGAGGAGTTATCATTATGTACACTCAGATTATTATCCTCATCTTTGTTATCACAAGGTTTGAGTTGTTGTGTCCTCCTGTCTTTGTCAGGTGTTTGTCAATCTGAGTAACTTTCAGGGAATATCAATTTGAACCCTTTATTTAATCTATATAGATATGTTGCTCTCATTCCACTATCCATATCTAGGTATATTTCATCTTCTTATCTAGTACTGCTCAATTATCATTCACATTGTCTTCACTGAGTTTGTCTGCATTACCTGACCCAGGAATTGAACTCACAATTGCTACTTAGAGCAGCAGTGTGAAAAGAAAAGCCACAGTGAATGCATTCAAGAATGACAGTGTCAGCAAGCAGCTTAAGTTTAAAGCTCCAAGTTCTAAACTCAGGATTTTCTCATAGGACAATAGTTTAGTGGAATAAAGCAATGGTTTGATACTTTGGTGATGTAGTAATTGTGAGTTCAACCCCTGAGTTGGATAGTGTAGAGTTAGGCTCAGTGGAAACAGGGTAAGCAAGACAAGATATTCCTAGACATAGTGGAACAAGAACAATTTACCCCCAGTAAATTAAATAAAGGGATCAGTTTGAAACTCCCTGAAGGTTATCCTGGTCAACAAACACATTGAAGAAGGCTAGAAGGTACAACAGGCAAAATGTTGTGATAACAAAAGTGAAGAGAATAGTTTGAATATAAATAATGTAGATTATGCTGATTTTTTATTTGTGAACAAAAACTTTAAACACATTAACACTTATGATGCTTTTCCTATTTTTCTAATTTAAATGAAAGTCAATCATTTTTATTGATTACTGTTGATTATATATATATATATATATATATATATATATATATATAGAGAGAGAGAGAGAGAGAGAGAAATGCATGAATCTACCAACTTAATTGTATTGTTATATTTAACAGAAATTAAATTTTTATCTTTGGTGATACAAGTTTTGCCTTCATAAATTTTATTTCAAAACAGAAATTTTGATATAAACAAAGATTTTATAAACCAAATATTCTCAATAAAGAGGATAAGTAGATAGCTTTAAAAATTAGGAAAATGCAACTGTTTATTAAATGTTTATATGAAGATATTTAAATACATTTAATTCTTTCTATTTATATATACAAATAATAAATTTACTTAACCATGTGGAATCAACTGAAGAAATATCATGTAAAATTTCTTTGTCTTGGATGTGGTAACAAATATTTTGCTCATGCAACATCATAAATTGATAACCATATAAAAACCTTAGAGGAAAAGTAACATTTTTCACTGAACTTTAAAAAATACAAAATATTATCCCACTCGTGGATAAAATAATCCTAGTCCCAAGTGATTAAGATGACACTTTGCAATTAGCAAGACATAAATAGCATTAAAAACAGGAAAGTTTGTTCCTCACATTACATTTAATTTTAATACAGTTTTTTTAACAAAATCTCACATTTGGAAATTTTTAGAGTCTGGATTAAAGATATATATTACAATATTTCCATCAAGTATCATAAATTATAGTCAAGGACTTGTGGAATACATCTTTTGATATATACTGATAAAAATATATGTAGAGATAAAATGCTTTAAAATATTATGTAATTTGTGATAAAATATTGTTTGCAATGAAAGCAATAATTTTCAAAAATTTTATTATACAGAATCTGTATAATCAAAATCAAAGATTTAAATGATTTCAATATTAAACACAAATGATTATTTTTTTTTAGTCTGAATATACAAACCTGTACTAGAATATATTTTTAGGAAGTAATAAAAAAATATGAAAAAATAAATTTCTTTTTGTTTTTGAAAACAATTCTTAATAACACTTTAATACAAGAAATTTAAAGTGTAATACATTTCTCTTTAGCACTTACAAACAAGACTGTCCTTTTTTATATATCATTGAACCATAAAGATTTAATCTCATGAAGATTAAAAAAATGATAAAGAAAATTTTATGAATTGTTATTGTTTTCTATAATTTCTATTATCTGATGATAAAAAAATTCAGATTTCACAGGAAATATTTAGCTGAAAAAGTTTTCTAATATTAAATTCAGTATTGATTTGAAGACTAAGGACATACACAATTCACATGAAAAAGCAGACTTTTATGATCAAATAGAAAAAGTAACTAAGAAACCAGAAAACATTTTGAAATAATAAACTAAAAAAATTAATTTTAGGTCTTAAAATATTTTCTTAAAAAGAATATGATTGTAAGTACAACTTGATAAACCAACATTCAAACATAGCTTTTGGAGTAATTTTCCTGGTACAGCAAAAAAACAAAAATTACAACATAGAAGATAGTCTATTTCAAGTCATTCTGTACATGGCTATTATCAGCCCCTAAGTTTCTGTCTCAGAGCATTGTTTTAAATTTATTTTCAATGTCAGTCTTCCTCTGGTAGATGCCTTTTAATGAGAACAGGTTTGTGTTAGTGATTAGTGGGGGTGTAAAGTATCTTATCATGGGGAAAGTGGTCTGGGGTTGGAGTGTATTTATGGTCAGGACTTCTTGCTTGTAGTTTAATATCAATTCCTACTATGTGGACTTTCTTATAAAAGCCCCAAGTGTGTTTTTCTGGGATTCACAGTAAATAGTTTTTGTACTACAGATGTCCAATATTATTAATAAGTGATGGGGGATTTAAACTTAAGCTCATTAAGATTAATGCAAATTAGTTGAATTATAGATTTATAGATTGTGGGTAATACAGAGCACTCAATGAAATAAATCATGCTGTCCAACACAATGTTATAATGATCTAGATATATCTTCATACATATTTATATGTACATTTAGGACTCTCCATACATATATGCCACTATACATACACCCCCCATATATATATTCATGTATTCTTATGTAATTTGTTTGATATTTCTATGTCAACATTTTTAAATGATTAGTTCTCTCCGTTGATTTAATAGTTTGCATTGATCTTTATATTTTATTATCCTGATTTTTCTTTAAAAATCTTGCTTTTAACTATATCTAAAACTATTGGGGGATGTTCATTAAAACCTAAATTTTTTCAATTTATCTGAATATTCAAACCCTTTTCCTTCAATTCCCCAAATTTTTTTAAAAGGGCTGTTTGATGTTTTAATTTTGGATTGGTGAATGAATGTCTATATGTATCGATTCTCTATTTATAAATTCTCCTTTTTTTGTTGATGTAAATATTATGGTTTGTTTTATTTTTTCTTTAGGTGTAATGGTTGCTTGGTATACTACCCTAGTGGATCTGCACTTGCCCTCTACTGGGCAGTTTTCCTGCACTGATAATATGTACCAAATTCCCATAATTACATTTCAAGTAAATTTCATAAAAAAAAAAAAACTAAATCTAACATGGAAACCACCTGTAATTGCAGAAATAACAAATAGTTATGCCCTCACTGAATTATTTTTTAAACCCATTCTCATTAACAAGGCCAGAGGAGGACTTGAAAAATAAATTCAAAACAATGCTCCAAGAGAACACTTTGGGCTGATGATAAAATATTTATTCGAGAACATATTGAAATAGACTATGTTGAGGTAATTTTTGTTTTTTTGCTGTAAAAAATATATATGCTCTGTTATAATAAATACATCAAGCTCTCTGTGGATCAGTTTTAATAACTAATATTACTAGGATCCACCGGATTACATACCAATGGATCAATTACCTGTACTATATATATATATATATATATATATATATAAGAAAAGGTGAAAGAAAAAAGTTCTCAACTCAGTTCTCAAATAATTCTAATGTTTAATCATTTGGTTAAATTCTAAGAATTGGGTCAGACTGAAAACTTTTTTCACTACTCTTAAAACAGGACTTCTTAAAGCCCTTATTACTCTAAATTTTCAGGGCTGTAAAATTACTTAACAGAAATATGCTTTTTTTTCCAAGTCATTTTATAGCAAAAAAGTGTAATTAAATTTCACTTACCATGAGAATGTATTGATTTTTACAAAATTCTGGAATACCACAAGACCTGCCGAGGTGACACCAAGCTGTATTTCAAGATTACTCTGATCCTAAAGAGAAAGAGTATTGGAGGGGGAATGTAAAATTTTACATTAAAAAAGTTTCTGCTCACAAGTAAAATTGGATGAAAATCTGTATATATATATATATATATATATATATATATTTTTTTTGAACAATAAAAAATATTAAAAAATTAAAATCTTCAGACACACTGGGTTGTAGATTAATATTCTTTTGTTTTTATTATTATTATTTCATTTAGATTCCTTGACTAGTTTCGGGCAAAATGGCCATCATCAGGAGAAGAAATATTCCTGCTTGCTGGTAGCAGTGAACTACAGAAATGAATGTCTTGATGGAGAAAATGAACTTTTTGTCTGTAGTTTTCATTTTGTTTTTTTTTTTTTATCTTTTTAACATGAATCTTTTAACATTCCTTGTGTTGGTCAAACAGTCTCTTTTAAGTTGTTATTTGACATAAGAGCTGGATGGATCTATGATGCTCTGAATTTCCCTGGTCAGTTTGACAGTTTTATTGGTTCCTGGAGAGGGGATGTGTCTCTGTTAAGTGTTTGTGTGTGTGTTGTTTTTGGTTCTTAGGGGTGAGTGAGTAAGATATGTGTAAGTGTGTATATTGCTGTGGGTGTGTGTTATCATTTGGGCTCATTAGGGGTAGTGAGTATGATGTGTGTAAGTATGTATATTCGTGTGGGTGTGTGTATAAGTGTGAGGCCTCAACACCTCCGTAAGCATGTCTGTCTTGTGTGGGTGATAAATGTGGGTAGGTTTTGATTTGTAGGGTTATATAATAATACTATCTATATTGTTAAATTTATGGTTTAGCCCTGCTGGATAGTGTGTTTTTAAATGTTGTATCCACTTATTTTCATGGAACTCTAAAATCTTTCTAAAGTTATCCTCTCTGAACTTTTCTATTCTCTCAATTATAGTGAATTTGGCATGGGTTTTGAAATCGTGTTTTTCTAGGCAGAAATGTTGTTCTACAGGTAATAATTTTTCATGGGGATTCGACTTAATTCAATTGCAATAATTATTAATTCTGTAGTGAAAGGGCCATTCAGATTTTCCTACATATTGTTTCTGGCATAGTGTGCATTCTAGGAGGTACATTATGTTATGACTTCTACAGTTAGAATCATGGTAGATTTTGAAAGTAGATTTAGTGACTGAGCTAGTGAATGAATTTGTGTGTTTAATGTGGTTTGCAACATAAACTTCTTTTGTTGTTACATGGTTGGGAAAATCCTGTTTTTTTATTGTTAGTTTATTATATATTATATATCCCCTGAAATGTGGTTACTACCTATGATTTCTTTTTTTAGGTTCTTAGGTCTACAATATGCTAGAAGGCCAGGTTCCTTAAACAATTTTTTAGGTCTGGTTTGAGATGTAAGTATTTCCCAGCAACTTTTGATTATTTGGGATAGTGGAGGCAGAGTGGGGTTGAAAGTAAGTTACTAAAGGAATGCAGCTAGATTTATTTTTTTAATCTTGTACATTAGGGTGTCTTCTCTAGGGTGTGGAAATTGCTTTGTTATTTGTTCCCTGATTAGGTGTTGTTTATAAACACGTGTTGTGAATTGATGCTCCAGATTTTCAATGTGTTTATTTAATTCTTCATTGTTGGAACATATCCTTCTGAGTCTAAGTTACTTGTGAATAGGGAAGGTTCTCTTTGAGGTGTTTAGGGGTGGTGGAAGAATTAAAGTGTAGATAGTTGTGGGTGTCATTGATTTTTAGTGTGTAGTGTCATTTGTAGTTTCCTGTTTTCATCTATGTAAATGCGGGTATCTAAAAATGTTACTGATGCTATGGATTTTTTCATAGTCAAACTTAATTGAAATCGTATCACTGTGTTTAAATAAGGAATTGGATAAGTGTTGGGCAGGCGTTTGAACCTTCTAACTAGTAATGGACTGGTCCCTCTTATATAAGTCAGCTCTGGAGAGAGAGTGATAAGAGCGTCAGAGAGAGAGTCAGCATGAGCAGTCCAGATAAGCTTACCGGTACATACCGTTGGACTATAGATTTGGATATTGTTTCGTACTAACCAACCTTCGTTCTACTAATCACTCTATTGTTAATTGCTTTTATGAATATACCAGTATTTTCCTCTACAACTGTGTTTGTCTTGATTCATACACCGACACGCGGAAACTCACAAACATCTCAACAGAAGATGGTTGAATTTAACAAAAATAATAACCGATTTCATATCATAAAAAAAAATTTTAAAAGAGTTCAAGCATTTACAATTGAGAGGATTGTATTTATTTATCGACAAAAACGAAAACCAGTTGAACCTAGAGTGGCACTTATTGATTATGTTGGTAAGTGGTGATAATAACAATTTTTAACCAAAAAAAAAAATAAAAATTGTGTGTGCCAGAAAATTTGAATTTTTGGCCCCTCAAAAAAAAAAAAAAAAAACATAAAATTTTTTTTTTCTGATACATAATCATGGAGCAATTTCAATCAACTATATTGGCCTCATTAAGTATCAGATGCAAAGACAGCAAGATACAGAACGTTTTCATGCAAGAGAAAATAAAAAATTTTGTTCTCAACTTAAAATTTCATCCAGCCAAAATGCAGAAAATGAATCAAAAGGATTTCTGGAACTACAAAAATACAAAACAAGAAAATGAAAAACATTTAGGTTCATGCCTTGAAAAATTTAAAGTGGTGCTAACAACTATCCAAACATCTATAAAATGTTTTCAATGAAAAAATATTTTTCCCAAAACACAAATATGGTCAACTAGTTAAAAGTTTTAAATATTTATTCCATAAAATAGGAAAAGAAACAATCTCTCATAGATATCACATTTTTATGAAAAGTTGATTTTAGAATCTGGACAGATGAAAAAAAAATAAATTATTGCTACAAAAAACGTTCATCCCCAACAAAACAAGTTTATTTATTATATTACCCAAATAGACAAAACATTTAAAATTGTCAATTGATTGAAACATTATAAAATGGTAAATAATCCCAGATTTTCATTATTTCACAAAAATTTTTAATGCCTAGAATATCCAAAAAATTTAGGAAAAAGATTAAAATTATTTCATATTTTTTAAATGGATAAATGATGTATTGCATTTTACAAGTTTTTCCGAATTATCGTAAACAAAAATTAAGTGTTGCTAATATTCAAAAAACCTTATGAAAAAATAGTATTCAATTTTTTTAACAAAAATTAAAAAATGAACAAAATGACACTACAAAAAAATACATCATATGTTTAAGTTTTAAGCAAGATTCAGAAAAAAAAAATTTAAAACAATAAAAATTGTGAAGAAAGTATATAGGAAGACTAAATTTCAGTTCTCCATTGCCGGAAAAAGTGTCCTCCTGTACAAGAAATGTTTTGCAGAGGCTATAAAAAAAAAAACCTCCGAAATGCATTATATGGATGATTTATAGTGGCACTGGTACAATTCCATTAGCCCATATAAAAAAAAACTTGCAGAAATTTTTAAAAAATGTGACAATTATTATAACAATGTCAAAGAGTATAAAATTAAACAGAATGTTGAGTTTTTTTTACTATTGTTCAGGCAAGATCAAGACCTGAATATTCGAAAAATACCTTCAAAGAAAATGTTGTAACAAGAATGTAAAAAATGCAACTAGATTCAGGATCTGACATTTCAATATTAAACAATTGGAAAAATCTAGGAAAACCAACGTTGGATAAAATCCAACAAAATATCCAGGATGGTAACTTTCAAAAAATATAAAATTTGAATCTGAATGGAATAAATATAACTTTCAACAATAATTCGATAAAATGATAAATGTTTGGTAATGAAAGACACAAACAACCTGTTTGGGACTGACAATCAAAAAATTTTTTAACCTATGGTAATAGAGTATTAGTTCTTTTTTTATTTTTAATGAAAGGAAAGGGATTGTATAAAAAATTTACAAGCATAAAGCTGTGTAGATGCTTTTGAACTCCCGAGGCTGGAAACTGAAGGACTTGGACGTTGCACCAGATAGGCATCAGCAAAAAATACAGCTGAAAAAAATATTGTAAAGAATTTTAAAAAAAGGAGAAGCATCCCTTTTTTGCCGTGGTAGAAAAATTGAACAAGAACATTTTTTTTAGCATCTTCAATTGATAGATCATATAAATTATAATACAGGTCTGAGGTGCTCCTTGAGTCCCAGTAGACATTCAAAGTTGGGCGAACCTCTTTAAGAGTACAACAGACAATTTTCAACCGGACAAACGAAAATTCAAGGTTTGCTCAGTAATATCAAATCCCAAGAAGTGTTTTGGAAAGTATTGAATGAGATATTAAAAATGATTAAAAATTTTAAAAATGATACATGCTAATACCCAAACTTTTTATTCAAGAATTTTTATTCTAATATTAAAACACATAAAGGCTTGTTTAAAAATGTAAATTTTTTAACCTACTCAGGGTTTAGATCAAGTAAAAAGTTTCAATATTCCAATCTTTATTATGGATACAATTTTAATCCGGGTTTATTATTTTATATCTCATGCATGCAGACATATTCTTTAAAAATTGCTGCTTGTCCACATGATGAACACAAAAACCATTTACAAAGTTTTGTTTACTTTAAATACTTTATGTTCTTGATTTTTTTTTATTCTTTCTCTCATTTTCTCCTACCCAGAGGAAAAAATGTCTCCATCATATAGTGAATAAATTTGAGAAAAAAATTTAAAAAACTTCCCATTTTCAATTATAAAAAAATGTATATTATCATTATATTAAATGTCAAAGAAAGTTTTATTTATTGGTTTCATGTTTCCAGGACTTTAAAAAAACCTTCATTATAAAGACAGATAACGATAAACTAAAAACTAAACCTAAACATAATTTGGAAATATTTGAAATAATCTAAGCATTCAAAATATAAAAAATTAAAATTAAACTTGAACTATTTCTTGTACATTTTGATCCAAAGGTAATTTTCATTTCCTTTTGAAAAAAAATGAACTGACCTGAAGCCTTTTAGAAAACTTGGATATCTTATTGATTA